GATAAAGATTAAAGTTGCATTAATGGCTTAACTATATTAAGTACAGTTCTCTTTTTACCTTTTACTCAGCCTAGTTGATAGGTAGATTAGCTTCCTCTGCACGTACTAATGTACGTGAAGTTTCGTGGCAACCCAAACAAAGGGTGCCCCATTACAATTTTATGAGTAAGATCTATCTTGAGGCGTGTACTCGAGAGTACATTGTGTGTACAAATCCTGGAGTTGTTTTTAGTCCCCTGAACTATGGCAAAATGCTAAACGAGCTTAGAGACTCTCCGAGTCTTTGTTGATTTGTTCTAAGAACGAAGATTCTTTAACCAATAGGAACTTAGTTCCGTAGAACTAAGTGACTTCTAGAGTCGTAAGTCTTCCTCTGACTAAGAGCTGTGCAGCTTCACTACAGCTTGGGTTCCTGTTCATCATTTAGCTCGCGCTGCTGCTGCTCATGGGCTATGATTTCTTCACCATTTATATCACAGAGACCAGATACGTGCTCACCATCAGCTTCAGTTTCTCCGAAACATCAATCTCATGGTGGCAGAGTTAAAGTTGTAATAATATTCTGGGCAACACGTGCACTAGCGTTACGCGGCGCATGACCTTGTGCCCCGCGCTTTGTCATAAAAAAATTGGTTTGTTTTGAGGGGGTGTAAAACATAAAATAAGGGGTGAAAATATCATTACCAAAATGCATTAGCTTTTCTACACCGTCGAATAAAGATGTAAACATTGTAGTTCGCCTGTTGTCTTGCTGCTTCAAGCACAAGTTGTAAAGGGATTATATGTAGTTGGGTACCTGGTACCCTGTGTCCTAGACATACGGATGATATCCCACTGAAAGAGATCTAGAATATAATTTGGTTTATAAGGGCTGGCTGGTGTCAGCCACCAGATAGGAAAGATCTTAGTTGTACTAACTTAGGATACAAGTGTCTAGGTTAGGATTAACATTTTCTATAGGTGCAAATGCAAGCAAAATTCAGCTCCCTTTGATCGTAATGACACGTGCCTTGCGAGGCGTCGTTGGTCGTTGATTACTGATCACTGAGAGTTAGAAACAACTCCTTGAGGTAGCTAGTTACTCTTAAGCACTGAGTGCTGTCGATTCACTGAATCGTTCAATCCCCTGGAACAAGGAACATAAGCTTTAAGCTTGTTGAATCATTGAGTCGAGTTCTTTAGAAATATATTGATCGTTGAGCGTCAAGTCTTCCTCTGGCTCAAGGAGCTGTGTAGCTCCGCTACACTAGTTATCTCCTTTTACCTTTCAGATATTATATCCGGCGGATGTAAGGGGTCACACTCATGCTCGAATATAATGAGAACATGCACTTAATGAAATCTAGCAAATATATAAGCGGATGAAAAGAACTACAAAGTATTTCTCTGGTAACAGCGAGTGAAGCATACAGGCTTTACATCTCGTAACAAATGTATTATGTGCGACCATTGCAATTGTGGAAGAGCCTAACAAGGTGATGATGTATGTCGCTAACAAAGTACCTCGACGGTTGGGAGGGGTTAGGCTGTCCGCGAAGTCAAAACTGTACATGTGCGAAGTAAAGTTGCAAGCACGCATATGATAAGCGTTGCTCGGGTGCCGGTATAACGTGAAAGATGTAGCAAGAATGCGGATATGGAGCAAACGTGGGTAGAACACAGCAACATCAGAAACTGAAAGCGATGTAGGTCTTGGCAACTGTCTAGTTGAACAATAAGCTAAGCCAATATGACCACTGAAATGACTTGACATCCGAGGGCTAAAAGAACAAGACTTTACACAAGTTGAGATGGACCGCATTTAGGATATCGTGGGAACTTGGTATTTGAGGATGCAGAGTACAAATGAGTACATTAAATGGCAAACAGGCTTAAAATCCCGACGACCCCGCCTTGAATCAAGAACTGCGGATCAACTCTAGGTGAAGATATAATGATCATTTTGCGTGCCGATATGTGAGATATCTAATCTTTGTGTATGACATGGTATCCGTACTCACTAGACGTAAATTCCGACTTGTGCGGTGCTAACAGAATACTTGAGGACCAGTGCTTGGGAACCTACGTACCTTGTGTTGTCCCAATATACCGAACTTCTCCGCAGTATCGCTCTACGCGAGCCACTTCGCACAAATCATGGCCAAAGAAAAGTCGATTAGCTAATGGCAATTGAGATGGAGTTGCTATTTCAAGATGAGACCCGCGCACATTGAGGTCTTTCACGTCACGAAGTGAGTAATTTGTTCTCTCTAGTATGAATGTGCGGCCTCACTTTTCATTGCTCTGTCGCGTATCGTGAGCTTTACATAAGCGCAAAGTGGACATGGGAGGCACGTTCATGCATGCCGAGAGCCTTACAGTGTCCGCCTTTCTTGACGTTGAAGAGGATTGGCACTATTCGCATTTCCAGTTATCTTTGTCATTGTCTAAATATAGTAGCATAGGTGTAATGGGTCACCCCTCTGCTCGAATGCCACGAAATTTCACGTATGATCGTACGTGCAGAGGAAGCTAATCTACTTAACATCTATGTTGAGTAAAGGGTAAAAGAGAACTGTATGTAATATAGTTAAGCTATTAATATAACTTCACCCTCTATCTAATGAAATTAAACTACATCGTCGTATGACGACAACCTGCTCACCACTCATTGCGCGCGTCTAGCAGCGAGTGGTGGTAATCTGTGGTTGATATATCTTGTATCAACCAATCTTCGAGCAGCACATGAATATTCCAAAGGGGACAATGTCCCTTTAATATTACCTATCTCGGGTAATTTGGTAAGGAACTGTGATACTAGACCATCTCCCTCTTGACACCGTTTGGTGTCAATATCATGTAACGGGCTACCTTGTCACTACAGGGCAAAATAAGTGATGAGTTTCTTGAGTCTATCCAGATACATATCGATAGAACAACTGTTTTGGCACATTTCTCAGATTGCAGGTATAGCTCAATCTACTCGAAGAGGCAAAACAATATTTCCGATTATCTGCAACTATGACCGGCGCAAAGAAGACGTCTGTGGCAAATGAACTCCCAAAAAGCAATAGTTCACGAGCCAACCACATACCGTTAGTGCAAGACAAGCGGTGTTGTAAATGCATCGCGTGAATTTGCAAATTACTTTTATTCAGGTCTGGACAGCTACATTATATATGACCGAGCAAATTAGAGCAATTGCAATTGTCCTATACGGGTGGGCTAGTATGTGGATGTAGGTCATTTATTAACGTGCTACCATGTAAACGTAAACCCGCATAAGTGCATGCCGAAGGAGCCATTCTAGCTGGTCATTCCATCCTCAGATGTTCATTGGAGCGAATGATACAAATGGAATGAGGTACCAGCTGCAGATTAGGTTGTAATCTGACCCTCGGCGGCCTCGCGCATTTCAATGTAGCCGAAGGCTGCAGCAGGCATTTCATATTAATCTTCGGTATCAGTCGACATTATCCCATCGTGAACAATTTGCAGAATCTTCGGGCCACAACACATGAGGAGCAATACCAAAGTTGCCGCGATAGTACTTGGACCCTACACGTAACAGGAGATAGAGTCCAAGTTCCAGCTGCTGTGTATATTTGGAACGCTAGCCGATCTCTCTAAAAATGTGTCCAATGCCAAGATCTTGCGGAGCTATCACAGCGTCGACAGTATCTTCCAGCGAGAAATTTATGCATCCAGAACCTAATAAATCAACCAAAAATCCTTCAGCTCTACTAGACGCGAGCTTTGCTCCGTTTAACACCGATGCAACCGGAACCAAAAAGTCAAAATTACAATTAAATTGGGACACTTCAATCAGCGTTCCCATCCTTTTATTAGGAATAACTGCAAACCAAGATCTGAGTTATGAGCTATTCTAAATAAGAACAGCTCAAAATAATCAGTATGCATGCGTCGGTACGTGCCAATAATAACCCACAGCTTCGACATATCGAGCATGAGCCAAACGATCAGCGCAGCTCCAGCAAGAGTGACAACGTATCAACGTCACCGTCATACTGCAAGTCTCCTGTGACGAAACGTCATTTCGAAACCACGACAACATACCCCCCCACCGACATAGCGACAGCATAGACGTTTCCTTTACAACCACTTCCGACTATAACTGTAACAATGATCGCTCCATTGAAAGCAGTTGGGAGATCTTCAGGAAACAAAATGAGCTCCTCGTCCTTTAACCTTCAGACGCTCCATACCGGGACAAAGGACGCGACGCGACGCATCCCATCGTCGCAAAGTCACGAAAATTTCGTTTGCGCTCGTCGTCGTCGGCATCCCGTTCCCGGTCAGCAGTAGAGTTGTCCTCGACATTGGCGTGACCCGTGATCGGGCTCTTTTCTGGCGAAGATCCGATTCAGCGAGCGCGAACGACAGTCGTGCTACTGCAGACGAAGGCATCGTCGACGCCGATTTGCTCGAGATGCGTGAGCTCTCTCTCTCTCTCTCATGGACGCGGGCAAAGTTGAATGCGCAAACGCTCGCGTCCTACGGACCATCCGTTGGTCCATACTTTACACGACCACGCGTGGCTGGTCTATGCTACCGGCTCATCGACAGCATATCCTCGAACGCTCCTCCCCGATCCGTGCGACGAGCAGCTTCGGTGTTCGAACGAAAGCCACCAGCTCGACCGTGGTCGGTCTCCTGTAAACTTCAATGCCGCCTTCCAAGTCATGGGATGCAGCCAAGATGATAGGGGGGGGAGTGTCTCGTTGCGCAAACGAAAGCACGCAAACGACCGGCTCAGGTCAAGCACACAAATCTCCAGCACACACGCGCATTCTCTGTCCTTCCCACACCAGCTCTTTAGCCAGTACGTATCATGCATGACAACGAATGCATCCAGCTCTGTGGCCATCATTTGCCAACCGGCGCACTCGTCCACAGGCAAGCAGTCAGTCGAGTCCATCAGTTGATCCGTCGCGTCCCCTCAAACACCCTCCCACCCACCTTTTCACACTCAACCATCACCCAACTCGACAGCTCTCAACATGCACACACGCAATCACGCGGTCACGTATCACCAGCACCACCACCACCACCAGCAGCAGCAGCTCGAAAGCTCGTGGAGCGACTCGTTGCAGCACCCCCAAGCGCCCTCACGACTCGCAGCCACGAATACGTCGTCCCTCCTGACTCTACCACCACTCAAGACCATCTCTAGCGACAACACCTTCTTCTTCACTACCCCCTCCCCATCTCTCCAACCCACGTCCCCCCTCCTCGCCCCTCCCCCTCGACGAAACCGAGCCATCACCCCATGCCACTCCAACCCGACGCTCGGACCAGGTTCGCTCCCTCGCTTAAGTGACGTGACCTGCTCACCAGTCATCCCGCTCCTGGACGCCTCGACGCCCTCGAAGCGCTCGTGTTTCCCCAAGAAGTGCGACTTCCCGCTGTGCAAGAACAGCGCCCGCAGTCGCGGCTTCTGCTACAGTCACGGAGGCGGCCGTCGCTGTCGCGTCGACACCTGTAACAATGGCGCCGTGAGTCGGGACCTGTGCAAGCGCCACGGCGGGGGACGGCGCTGTCACGTTGTGAACTGCAAGAGCAGCGCCGAGAGCGGCGGTCTGTGCTATAGCCACGGCGGGGGGCGTCGCTGCCGTCTCTCGGGGTGCTCGGCACGGGCAAAGAAGGGCGGACTGTGCGGCGTCCACTTGACGGGGGGCACGCGGACAGCGTCCGTGGCAGGAGGGGCGGACACTTTGCTTACGGACACGAGCTCCGAAGGGTCGGATGTGGTCGAGACGCTGCTGGCGCTGGCTAAAGAGCAGCCACTGGAGGACAAGATGAAGTGCAGTGGGGACTGGCGGGGAGGGAGCGCTGCCCCGAGCGCGTATGCGATCACGTCGTTGCTCAATTGATGGTGGAAGATGGAGGACGAGAGGGTGAGATGAAGGGATCACCTGGAGCGTGCGTCTTGTGGGAGGGAGTAGAGTTGGAGCTCTTGGTCTCAAGTGAGGGACGATGGCGCTCTACAATGGACAAGGTCTGGCATTATCGGGCGTCGAAGCTTATGGGTGCCCGGTGTGTAGAAGAAGGGGTGTTTGCTGGATGGTCTTGATTCGTCACGACCAGGTTGACATCCTGCTATGAACGGGCTCTGACCAGGTATCGGGGCAACTTTGGCGAACTGTAGAAGGGTTTACAGTTTGCGGGAGTTCCAGCCACCTGCATCGATGGCGGATACCCATCACTGGTGTGACGATCTACCCATGCGATTGTGGTTGCAAGCCTTCCGATCTTTTAACGACGCCGTACGGTAGTTCCAGGGCGACGTAGCTTCTGGAACTGAAAGTCGTGAACACAATGGCCTTGTGCGTGGACTGTTTGTACGCCACCGAAAGGTTGCTTGGCCAAGCTTGCATGCCGTCATTGCAACCAGAAATCGAAGAAAGCTGAGTGCGAAGAGAAGGAGGTTCGAAATCGGAGCTGCGTTGCACACGAATCGCTTTGCTCGGATCGTGGTGACTTAGTCTGCACGGTGCTGCTTCGTTCAAAAGAAGAATCTGGTCAGACGTTGCCCGCCATGCCACGAACATGCTAGGGCCTAGAGCATTGTACCTGGACAAATGATCGCGGGCTTGTTTGCAGTTGCAGATGTTTCTTGCCACATGTGGAGCAGCTTCTAGCTTTGCACGAGTCTGTCCAGCTGCTTGATCGGCCTTTCGCTCTGTTGTTCGCCAGAACGCTGATTTTCACGCACGCAGAGCAAGAGTGAGCGCCCCATGAGTATGTGCTGCATGTTTGAGGACGCTCTCAGCAGCATTGGAAGCACCCGATATGCTGAACGTACCAGTCGCAAGTGCTGGTGAGGCCACGCACGTCCGCAAAGGCGTCACAGGATCCGCCTGGGATGCAGTCTGTCATTGGCTGATGAATCCACTTGGTGCCTGTGTGATGGGCTCAATCAATGGAAGGTCGTGAGTTGGGAGGTGCGCCACGCGCACGCAACTCACAAAGCCGTCCCGCCATCGTTTGCGCTCTTCGCTAGCTCGTGGGGAAGCGTAGCTGCTTCAGCTTGTCAGATTTGCACTGGCATCTGCTGCTTTTCTTGAAGAACCTGTCCACGCCATGTGAGCGCAAGACCGAAAAACCTACAAGAAAGGCAATGAACTGAGCAGTGCTTCACTTGCTGTAGTAGCTGTGGCAGGCAGCATCGCATGCGCTTCGCTCGCTCGACTTGTGTCAAGCTCGTGCTGACCTCATTTTTGTCACGCTTCGGCCTCGACAGTGACCAATGGGTTCCAGTTCTTGGCCTCATTCGTCACGAGCTTTGCCTGTATCATCCCGACGATACAAAACAATGCCGCTCAGCCATGTGCAATAACCAGAAACGCTGAAGATATTTATGAAGCGCATTGAGTTACGGCTTGACTGCTGTCAGTGAATTTCGACACGTTGCGTCCCACTTCTTGGATACTGTGCACGATGACTAGATATCTTCGGATGAACATGCAATCTCTGTTTGGGAGTCTTTTGCACGAGTGCACGCGTTTGCAGCTTTTAAACGAGCAGGTTAGCGAAATGCACCACGTCGGTTCAACTCATCATCCGAGCGATCGAGTTCTTTTCCACAATGACGATACATCCTTGGTTGACGCGAACAATTTCGTTGAACAATATCCGTTATCGTGTTTGAGATCGTCTGGTGCGTCGTTTTTGACAGAGCCTGGAGGATCATGCATGTGTTTTAAGTGCGTGCACTTACTCAGTCCGTGGGAACTCGGAAGCCAATGTTGCGAAAGGCATCACTCTATTCTGTGCGACTGGGTTTCTTCTGGCAGACAACGACAAATACCACGACCGAAGAGCAACACACTGAAGCGAGAACACATTCTGCTACTGATCAAAAGACTTTTCATACATCTTGGAAGTTGCCAACGTCAGCACCGTCAGTAGCCGCGAGTTCCACCTGCGTGTCAAACCTTTTTAGCTTCCCCGGTACGCATAACCAGAAACCTTAAGTGTGTGGTGCAAAGGACACACTTTGGCAACCAAGAACTAACGGTATCACATGTGATGCATGGAACTAGAGGCGAAATGAATTCACACAAGCAAGTGCGCTGCATGAATTTGTCGCCTCGCTGTTAGAGCGTTTCGTAGCCCAGAAATACTGGACTATTACATGTGCAAGAGTAAAATGAGCGCCCTCAGGCCGTTTTCCCCAGTTGCTGTGAAGAGGTTGGCTGTCCTGAATCCGATCCGGTAGTGCCGCTATATCTCAAGCTATCCGAATGGGTATTCCGGTTGATGTAAGTGTGCCCACGCCAAGCGTTTATTCTCTCAAAGGGTAAGAGAACAACTGCTGGTCGGATGCAACCCGAACGCAATCATACAGCAGCTTTTCGTGCTGGCCTAGACTTGATCATCAAGTTACATTCCGTGCAACTTTTCGTCCTAGTCGACTTGAATCCGACCACGTAATTCACCTTTAATACTTGTCAATTAGAACATTTCCTAAAGGGCTGGTAGTATCCACCTCGACCTGGCCCGAGGCTCCGACTACGGACACCCTTTCTCTCGCATTTTAATAAGTTGTAATTGGATAATTTAATTATGCGTAAATAAATCATTTTATTTTTACTTTTTTTTATTTTGTCTGGGATTATTTGGTATAATCCTAAATAGACAAAATATTATTAAAAAAAAACTACAAACTCAATACGCCTAATCATTCCGAATAATGCTCGCTCCTCCCGTATTACCGCGGAAAGAACCATACACAGTCCAGCGTAGGCCGCCAAAAGCACTCCACATTGAAAAATTAGAACTTAAAGCTAAAACCCAGCGAAAAACAAAAACAGCTTCTAAATCAAAAATAATAAAAAGAATAGCTACTAAATAAATTTCAAACAATTATTAATATTAAATAATAATTATTTCTTATTATGAATTTTAAACATATTTTTCTTTAAAACTTTTTCAATTATAGCTTAAACTTCGGCTATTTCTGTTATAAAAATTAAAATACAAATTACATCGATTATACTTAAAATATAATTACAAAAAATAAAATATAAATTTTTAGCAATTGATGTTAAGCTTTTAAATTCCTAAATTTTGTTCTTAGAAAATTTTACGAATTGCGGGACGATTTAAAAAATAAAAATAAATTAAATTTTATTTAAAAAATATTTTATTATATATTTTTAAAATATATAAAAAATACGTGCCTTAATTCATGCAGCTACAATGGTTACGGCAGGTGTTTATTTAATTGCACGTTGTTCACCTATATTTGATTATTTTGTTTTTAAAAGTTATTACAATAATTGGAGCCACCTGTGTCGGTTTAGGGTACGGTTGTTAATTAAAAAAGTTATTTCCTGAAAAAAAATTAATTTTTGTCACTTTTTAAAAAGATTTAATGTAAAAATTATCCCATCAAAATTTGCTTTCGTCGGTAATTGTCGAATGTGTTTAGTTGGAATTGAAAATTCTTCTAAACCTGTCGAAAATAAGAATTTCTCCTACAAAACTACTCGAACCTGGATTTGACATATGTGCACGCGGACTATTGGAAGCGTTTGTGTCGCCCAGGGACGAGGACATGTGCACGCGGACTATTGGAAGCGTTTGTGTCGCCCAGGGACGTTTTGCGGATGGTCCCGTCAAGACTCACCTGTTCCGACTTGAACTAGATTGTCATTCATCGAGCCAACATGTTGGAATGTTGGAAATGGGTGCAAGGGTACGTAACGGTGATCGGAGTGTTCGGCCGGTGACTTGGGGTTTATTTGGAAACCTGATGTCACAAATCGCTGTGCGTAAATGGTGGACGCAGAGTGACAAGCAGGATAGTGACCCGAGTAGAGCCAGAATGCGTGTGAGATGGATGAATGGAGCAGAGGGCTTTGGCGATCATGGCAGAGAAGAGAGAACTAGTAAGGAAATACAACAGAATCTTATTGTTCACCTAACGCTTCCTTCTCGCAACACGCATCTTGCCTACAGGTTATGAGCCCAATGGCCGCAACCACCGAACCGACTACGAAGACACCAGCGGGTGTCCCGCGAGCCACGCCTGGGCGCGGCTCGCCAGCGCGTGCGCCTACCGCACCCGCAGTCGTCAACGATGGACCCGCTCGCGAGAGCGGGAAGCGAGACGATAAGATCCTCGCCGCGCTCGCCGCACTCACCGATCGACTGGCGAGCCTCGAGTCGTCGCAGAGAGTGCGAGACGAGGAGGAGCGCATGCTCGGGGTCGTGGAGAGCGGACTGTTCGCCTCGAAACTCGGCGCCAACATGCGTGGCCGACCGATGACGATAGACGCGATCGGAGACGCGGAGGAGAAGGCACCGGTGCCACGTGGGTACCAGCGCGCGACTGATCTTGGTGCGTCGCGATTCGCATCGCTCGAGCCACCTCGCGCGCGCGCAGCACCGCAGCTGCAGCAGCGCGCACCAGCGTCTGCGCCGACTCCGCAGGAGCATGCAGCGCTACCTCCGCCGCAACAATTCGCTCCGCCACAAGCCTATGTGCGACCGGGCCTCAACGGCAACGAAATGCCGTCCGCTAGCCAGCGGAAGTTGAACATACGCAAGTTCGATGTTACGGAGCTGTACCGCGGACTCGGGAGCGGATTCTTTGACTGGGGGCGTACGTTTCTGCGCGCGGTGAGCCTCGCGGAAGCGTCGTGTGGTTTCGGATGGACCGAAGACGTCAAGGTCGACCTGCTTGGGCACTTTCTCGCCGGCACGGCTGAGAGGTACTATCACAAGCAGGTCGATACCTGGTGGACGCAATCACCCACACTGGAGTACATCATGGAGCAGCTCCTGCGCACGTTCAAGACGTCAATCACTGCAAGCCAGGCGATGAAGTTATTCATGGCCAAGAAGGACGCACGACGCACCTGGGCCGAGCACTTCCTGTACATGGTCGCCGTCAGCGAGGCACGCGGTGGTGCCGACTCGCTTGTTCTTGATAACATCGTCCACCACGCTTCGCCGGAGCTGGTGAACGTGATGCGCTCCAAGTATGAGCCCACTCGACTCGACTACCTGCGCCATGCTGAGGAGCTGGCGCACTTCGCGCAGTCCATTGAGCACGGCAGCAGCGCGGTGGGTCGTGAGTTCGTCGCCGCGCACGTGGAAGGCAAACCCAAGGGCGCGATCACGTGCTACCGATGTGGGCGACGAGGCCACATCACAGCCAACTGTCGCGCGCGAGTCGTGCACGAAGACGAGACACTTGCGGAGGGTGGAGGCGCCAGCATGATCCTTGCACTGACCGAGAAGCGCAGAGCGACCACGAAGAAGCGCAACAGGAGGAAGAAGGGCTCGCGCGGCAAGGACGCCGCAGCGACCAATGTAAGTGATGGGGCGCGAACCATGGACGACTCATGCGGCTTCGTGCTTACGACGAGCGACGGAGTAAGAGCCACGGACGGCACGAGCGGCCTCGTACTTGCGGCGACCGATGCCACGGGCGTCGACCGAGGAGACTGGATCCTCGATAGCGGCGCGAGCCGGCATCTTGTCAACGACGAGTCGCTGCTGCTCAAGTCGACGGCTTGCAGCCACGAGATTGCGATGGCAGACGGCGAGTCGCTTCACCTGACGCGTGTCGGCAGCGTGCGCCTCGAGGTTCTTGCGCGCGGCGCTGAAGCGGTAGTGACGCTCACGGATGTGTTTGGCGCCGCGACTGGCAAAGAAAATTGTGTCGTACGGCAAGCTCGCCAACAAAGGATTTGCCCTAGTGCACTCCGGCGAAAGGCGCTCGCTCGCTTGGTGCAGAGATGGTGCGGTCGCGTTCGATGTCACAATCGACAGCAACGTGCTGTATGTCGTGACGAAGGCCACGCGCGACAAGGAAGGTGCAGGCGGAGACGCGATCATGGCGGCGCTCGAAGCGCATGCAACGGAAACCAACGCCGATGAGCCGCACGAAGCCTCGCTGTTGCACTGGCACCAGAGACTCGGCCACCTTGCGTTCGACACGATCGAACGCATGGCGCGCGATCCGGCATCGGGCATTCGGCTCAGCAACAACAAGCGTATGGCGTGCGTGTCGTGCCTCGAGGGCAAGCAGATGCGCAACGCGCAGTCCCAACAAGACAGCGGCAAGCACTCGCCCATCGATCGCATCGGCGGCGTCATCTGTTCGGACCTGAAGGGTCCAATGACGCCGCGGGACCGACTCGGCAATCGTTACCTTGTGAACTTCGTTGATCACAAGAGCAACTACTGCCGAGTCTTCCTCGCGCGCACGAAGGACGCTGCGGCGAGGCAGTTCGAGGCGTTCCTCGTCCACTTCGAGAAGCTTTTCGGGTTCAAGGTCCACGTGCTCCGCACGGACGGCGGCAGAGAATACGCCAACGTGGACCTGTTCTGCGAACGCACGGGCGTCGCGCGCCAAGTGTCGGAGGCGCGAAATCAGGCCTCAAACGGCAAGGCGGATCGAATGCACCGGACAGTGCTGAACCTTGCGCGCAGCATGATGTTTGCCTGCGCGCTGCCCCTGATGTTCTGGGGAGACGCGGTACTTTACGCCGTTCACATCCTCAACCGGAGCCCTACGCGAGCTAACGCAAAGAGAGCGTCACCACTCGAGGTGCTGACGGGCAAGACGCCGGATCTGCGTGAAATTGTCGTTTTTGGCTCCCAGTGCAGCGTGTATAGAGACCCGCGCAAGAACTCGCTGCTGCAGCGCTCGGGGCGCGCCATCATTGTCGGCATCAGCGAGGAAACCAAGGGCTACAAGGTGCTGCTGCCGCGTGACAATAAAGTGGTTGTCGCGCAGCACATCAAGAATATCGAGACACTGACGGAGGCGCAAAACGCGCAACTCCAGCGCGCGATGGACGTCGGCGATCGAGCCGGAGGCCAGGAGGAGACGGACGCGCCAGCAGCAGCAGTGGCGAAAGATGGTCGCGCAGAGGGCAACAGGGAGACGCGTAAAAGCAGAAAGAGATGGACGCGAAAGGCGCATGGAACACGCGGGGCGTTGAAACGCGCAGAAGCGGCTGCTCGTCAGGAGGAGACAGCCGCGAGCGGAGAAGTCGTAAATGCTGCTTTCGAGCATGATCCGCTTAACTACGGACAGGCGATGCGCAGCGGCAAGCGCGAAGGGTGGAAGAAGGCGATGCAAGAGGAGATCGCCGCGCTCGAGGCCAACGACGTCTGGACTATTACAAGGCGAACGGCAGGACAGCATGCGCTGCACACAAAATGGGTCTACAAGACCAAGACAGATGCACAGGGCGACCTCGAGCGGCTGAAAGCGCGACTGGTGGCGTGTGGCAACGAACAGGTTCTTGGCGTCGACTACTCGCTCACCTTCGCTGCCGTGATGGACCTATCGACGGTCAAAGTGATCCTGGCGCTTGCGGTAACGTGGGGGGTGCCTGCCAAGCACGGTGACATCCCCAACGCCTACGTTAAAGCGGACAAGGAGCCGCACCTGCGCATCTATCTACAGATGCCGCGCGTCATGCCAGTCTCGAAGGAGACGCTACGAGCGCAAGGCGTTTCGAACACGAGCGAGCTGGTGCTGGAGCTGCGGAAGAGCCTCTACGGGCTCAAGCAGGCAGGCCGGCTGTGGAGCCAGCTGCTGCACTCGAAGCTCTCTACTACCGGTTTCACGCGGTGTAAGAGCGACATGTGTTTTTACTGGAGCGCGACGGCGACGACCTCGTCGTGGTCGGCGTGTATGTCGACGATCTTCTAGCGACAGGGACGAGCGCGGCGGCGGTCGAGCGGTTCTTTGCAAGCCTCGCGTCGTTGTCGATCAAGGACCTGGGGCGTGTCAGCAAGTTCCTGGGAATGCGCGTGACGCACAACGGTCAGAATGGGTACACGCTCGATCAGGAGGAGGCCATAAGAGACCTCTTACGCGACAACGGACTCGCTGACGCCAACTCGACGTGGACGCCGATCGACGACAGCTGCTACGAGTTGGAGGAGGGCGACGCGGAGCTTCTTGGGACGCCAAGCGCAAAAATTAGGACCGACTGTGCGCCAGTTTCAGTCGCTGGTCGGCTCGCTGCTCTGGGTGGCGCGTTGCACGCGCCCTGACATAGCGTTTGCGGTGCACAAGGTCACGAGACGAGCCCATGCGCCTCGACTAGCAGACTGGAAGTTAGCTAAACGCATCGCGCGATACCTCAAGGGTACGGCGGCGCTTAAGATCACGATGATCCCAGAAGACAATTTAGGTGCGGCGATGCGACTAGAAGCGTTCAGCGACGCCGACTTTGCCGCCGACAAGACGGACCGGAAGTCGATGACGGGCGGCATCGTGATGCTGAAGGGGTGGCCGTCAGCTGGGGTGCGCGGAAGCAGGGAGGCGTCTCCCTGTCGACGATGGAGGCGGAATTTGTCGCGGCGAGTGAAGTCGCGCGCGAGCTGCTCGGCCTGCGCGAGATGTTGTGCGAAGTGGGCGTGGAGCCCACGCTTCCGATGCAGTTGCGGGTGGACAACCAAGCGGCGATCGCGCAGATCGCGGGAGAGGCATCGTCGCTGAAGGCAAAACATGTGGATGTGCGCCTTAAGTTCCTTTGCGACTACTCGCGTCGCGGCATCATCACGGCGAGCTACGTCAGATCGGAGCAGATGCTCGCAGACCTCCTCACGAAGGCGTTGGACGCGACGAAGCTCTCGACACTGCGCGCACTCGTGCGCATTGGTTAAGAAAAGGTTGAGGACGATCAAAAGCGATCAAGGAGCTCAGGGATGGAGGAGCACAGGGACAAGGACATTTGCAAGCTCAAGAAATGGAACTGGTTTGAGGGCAAGTCACGATCGAGGAGGAGTGTTGGAATGTTGGAAATGGGTGCAAGGGTACGTAACGGTGATCGGAGTGTTCGGCCGGTGACTTGGGGTTTATTTGGAAACCTGATGTCACAAATCGCTGTGCGTAAATGGTGGACGCAGAGTGACAAGCAGGATAGTGACCCGAGTAGAGCCAGAATGCGTGTGAGATGGATGAATGGAGCAGAGGGCTTTGGCGATCATGGCAGAGAAGAGAGAACTAGTAAGGAAATACAACAGAATCTTATTGTTCACCTAACGCTTCCTTCTCGCAACACGCATCTTGCCTACACAACACGTTACACGGTTTGTTTCGATGCTTGGGCTTGTGCTCTAGTAGAAGTAAAAGCTTCAGGTATTATGCCTAGATAAAGTGTTAAAGAACCTGTACAATAAATTTGACTTTTTTAATAAATTATTAGATTTTGAAAAGGTCATTTAAAAAAAATTAATTAAACGAATGGCGTGAAGAATACCTGCATAAACCTTGGTGAAGCCTCTCCCTCATCATTAGTGCTGCAGATCTTTTCGAACGAGGGGATAAGCCACAACTTGAACCGAGGTAGCTCGAGCTTCTGCTAGAACCGTTGATCGAAGAAGTCGACGATTGATGAATCGCAATCTCTTTCGATCTTGCACTTCATGGACCTCTGTCCTACTTTTCTCTGCCAAGAGGACAAACTTTGCACTGCGGCTGCAGGACACGGAGACTTGACTTATTGGAGTTTGCCAGGTGATCCGTGCGACTCGAAGACTACTGTAATACACTTAGATCCAGCGTGTGGTGCTTCATCGCGACTTGTCTGGGCGACTACCGACATTTCCTCCCTTGCATGTTAGCCCAGCCTGGGCTAAATCTAAACGCGTCAGTTCACCTTATTGTACGCGATTCTAAGACCAACTCAAAACAAACCATTGATAGCCTGTATTCGGAATACAAGGCGACGGCAATAACTTGACTAGAACATGAGAATTGAGCTCGACCATCACCGGTTGTCGTCAATAGGAGAAGTCGTACCACTGCGGTATCCCGTCGCCAAATCTACCGATCAAGAAAGCCTCATCGCGTTTTTCGAGCTTCTTGGCGAACAGTAGCGGCCGATTGATACCAAAATGAGCAGGTTGACCTTGAGGTCTTTCTTCGGACTCGTCGCTGCACGCCTTTGGTGTAGTTTTCATCGCAACAGCTTCAATCGCAGGTCTGTCCCGCGTGTAATTAAACCTGGTGAACTTCTTCGACGTCGCTTCCTCAACTTCGCAATACACTCGTCCGTTGCGGGTCACAGGATTGATAATCGTAACTCGATGCGCTGAGTTTTGGCAACTCCATTGCGTCAATAGTGCCCGATACTTCTTCGCAATCAAGCAATCACGAGCGAGCGCGTACGATTCTTCGAAGGTCGATGAACCGTCTTCCATTTCTGCACCCTCAAGCTCCGCTTGCATCAACGCGAACACCCGCATAGCAGCATCACGCCAAACTGACTTTACATCCGGCCCCAGCAGGTGAAGAAGCTGCCGCATCTCCGGTTTCTTGCGCAATGGCAAGGCTAAGGTGAATTTAGTATGTAGATCGACTTTCGTCCACAAAGGTTTGTTCTCTTCAACCTCTTCAACGAACGCTTTCAGCGTCTGCACAGCTGCGTGTCGCTTGCCTGATTTCGTTTGGGCATTAACGGCAAACAACGGGTCGATGATAAACGCGAGTTGCGTTCGCAGAGCAGCGACTCGCTCGGTCAACTCATCCTTTGAACGCTGATGCATCTTGTTCATGCTTTCTCGATGCGTTTCCTCGAGCTTCTTTAGGTGAGCTGTGGGCCAACGCCCGGAAAATTTAAGCAGCTCCTCACGAAACGAACTGGCATCTCCATGAACTCGCACCAAATGGGTCACGGCTTTTTCCACGACCCACTTGGCAAAGTCATTCTTGTCGCTAAACTCGAGCGAGGAGGAGCGATTCATCGTTCGGCAAGTAGTTGACTGACGAAAATTGAATCACTCACTCGAGCTCTTGAACGATGACACGGGACGCGGTCAGCCGCCCGTTGGACCAATTGACTAAACCTGAAGAGAAAAAAACGCGAAAACGATCAGGTTGGCAACGGCATTAAGGGGACCGCAACCATGCGACAGCATGCAACAGTTGCTGCTTCCATTGCATCGATCTGTTCGATCGTCTCCATGACTTGAGACGGACGGAATGAGTTACTGAGCAGCCGGGCGCATTGATTACATCGAGAAGAAACCGTTCCGGGGAAACAAAGAGTGGGAAAGTCGAGACGAGCCGCTTCGTCTACAGCCAACGAAAAAAAGGTCTCTCTTGTGCTACCGCAAGACAACAATTTGCTGAACACACAACAACAATCCGCTGCAAGAATGAAGGTATTGCGAAGCGAAACTGGACTGCAAAGCTACCTCGACAGGAACAATAACTCCCTTGCTCCTCCAGGAGCGACATCTGTCGGCGTGTACTTCCAATTTGCCCATGCAGACGACGACAGTGAAGACGAACCTGGCCGAGTGGTGGCGATCGGTATCTCCACGTGTGACCCTGATGAAGAGGCACTTGTGCTGTGGTTACGATCACTCAGCAGTAAACGAGTGAGTAGGGGACTGAAAGCTTTACTAGGTGATTCTACAGTCACCAAAGTGATGTACAATGTCCATCGCACCGCGTACTGGCTCGATAGCTTCGGCTTACACAGTCCTCAGCTCCACAATTGCATTGACTTGCAGCTGTTGTTTCGAAGTCCAGGTAAAGCTGCTGTGTCAAAGGCGAGTATCCTGGACATCATCAATCGCTGCTTCCAGAACTCTGCTACACAGCTAGCGCAGACTACGTGTTCATTTAAGGCAAGCATGAGTTCATTGAGCCCAGCAAAGTGGACAGGTAGAGGGATCCCGATGACGCAGCTTCAACCGGTGGTTCGAACCGCAGAGCTGTATGCAAGTTGTTATGAAGGGAGCCGGGCCGAGCTCTTCATTAACGCAAACTGTGCAGCGATGACAAGCCTTCGGTGGAAATTTGCCGCTACGAACAAGGGATGTCCGGCAATTTGGTTTGATCCGGAGCTCGACAATCAACCGCGCAGTCTCGAGTGTCTGGTATCGCCGCATGGTGGAATAGTCACAGCAGTTCAAGTCCCCAACCTCGAGCTCGAGTGTGACCTCAATTCCCTCCTCAGTCTCCTGCCGGTGTCGTACAGAACTGCCATTCTCGCACTTGATAATTACCGTGACCTCGTTGATATCTGCATCGATACGGGTCGCGTTCCAATCGCATACACTGGGCGAAAACAGCGCGTCCAGCTCTGTTCGGACGGCACGGTCGTGCCCAAGACTCTTATCGACGAGATCCTCCTGAATCTCGGCGGCGAAGAGCGCATTGGCAGTGACAACCGAGCTGGCATTGATGGACAACTGCACCGCATCTCCGTCCTACGCAGCAAACGTAACGAAGTATACGGCTTCACTATGCGTGTGGGTCGAGCCCTGCGCAATGCTGCGTGCGTGTTAACTGACTTGTTACTTAGTCAGCGTCACGCTACCAAGTCCGTGCTCGTGCTCGGCTACCCAGGATGTGGGAAGACGACACTGATCCGAGACATGGCCAGGTGCGTGGCCGAGTCGATGGAAAACGTGTGCATTATCGACACGTCGAACGAGATTGGCGGCGACGGTCTCGTGCCGCACGCGTGCGTGGGGTGGGCACGCCGTATGATGGTTCGCTCGCTCGAGGCCCAAGCGAGTGTGATGATTGAGTGCGTCCAGAACCACACTGTGGAGACGTTAGTCGTGGACGAGATTGGTCGGAAGGCCGAGGTCTTGGCAGCATCAACGGTGCGACAGCGTGGGCCAAGGATCATTGCCAGTGCCCACGGTGACTTTCGAGCTTTGGTGCAGAACGCTGATCTAAAAGGACTCGTTGGCGGGTCGCAGCAAGTTACACTAGGGGATGCATTGGCCAAGGTCTCATCCAACAAGAACAAGGTCCAGACTCAGCGAGCGGGGAAGCCGATTTTCGACGTCATTGTCGAGCTCGATCCAAGTGTGCGCGGTCGGTGTCGCATCATTTGGGACGTGGCTGCAGCGGTCGATACTGTACTGGAAGGCGCGAGGGACTACGTCGTGGAGACCCGTCAATGGGATATGACGACGCGAGGGGTTCAGATGCTGTCGTGATGTTGAAGTGATGTTGAAGTGAGACGGGGTTTATTCCGGACCCTGTTCAAGTTGATATGGCTTCTTTCGATCATGTTTGTGGATCCCCCGTAACCGGTAGCTCCTGCCTACAATAGCGACACCTACGCACCTTCAGACAGTCCTTTAGTCCCTCAATGAACCGCAGCGTGCGCCCTGAGAACGTGGAATTCACCGTCAAGGTCCGTTACATAAACGTAGCAATTAGTTCTTGTCATAGAGCACGACTGGAGTACGTACGCAGTCTTCGGACAGAAGTATTCTCGCTTACCTGTCAGGTTATTTATTATCTATTATCGATGGTTGTATGGTATATATATGTAATTAAATTTATACAAATATATAAATATATAAATTGTAATGATAGATCGGATTGTTAATTTATGTCTTTGTCTGTGTTGTCGAGTTTAGGCGGCGGAGGATCTGGTGCTCACGGGCAAAGAGCGCTCGATCGTGCGCGTGTCGGCCAATAACATGTACTCGTGCCTCATGCAGAAGACGCAGCGCTTTTCGTCGTTGTTCCGTCATTACAGCAAGCACCATGGCCTGCCTCGCGAGTCGCTCGACTTTTTCTTTACGGTAACGAACTACACGCACAATAACGAGAACGGGAGCTTTTCTATATCTAGGGAAAAGAACGAGAGAGAGAGAGAGAGAGGTTTGGGTCATGAAGTTGTGTTGATTTTGTGGCTGGGGTTGGTACTGTGCATGTAGAACCGCTTGGACCCGGAGGATTCGCCTGAGTCAGTGTACCTACAAAAGGTTGGAGAGACACGAATGATGAATGGAAAAGCGTGTGTGTGTGTCTTTATAGCAGGAGTGACTGACTGGACTGTTGGATATCTGATGTGGAGCTAGAATGACATTATTCTTGTTCGACATCGAGTGGTGCCGGCGATGCTGACAGTGCCGAGTCACAGTGATGAGATGTACCTCACGACGATGCGGGAGCTCTTTCTGGTGTGAATGAAGCGGTAGAGTATCGCGGTTTTGGGGTGATTACTGATTTCTCGCGGATTGTTTTCGGGTGGTGATAGAATGGGGTCGGGAGTGATATTACGCTGGAAGTTGGACCGGGTCGAGCTATCCTGCGTGCGCATCGGTTGATCCTCACGACGAGATGCGAGATCTTCGAAGCCATGTTTCGTCCGGGGGCTATGAGAGAAAGCGAGGACGGCGTCGTTCGCATCGAAGACCACTCACCCGAGATGGTGTCCAAGATGCTCGAGTTTATCTACACCAACCGCGTCCTGGATATGGCCAAGCTCAACTCCAACGTGCGTGACCGATGGTGTTGCTGTATGATTCGTTGCCTAACGCTGGCTATTGCTATGTGTTTCGTTGTCATTCCGTCCAGCAACTCATCGACCTGCTGACACTGTCGGAGCAGTATCTGTTACTGCCACTAAAGCATCTCTGCGAGGTTGCGGCGCAAAACGTCTTGTCTGTCGGAAATGTCGGACAGTTCCTCTGCGCTGCGGAAAAGTTCAATGCTGCATATTTGAAGGAGTACTGTCTCGCGTTCTTCATGAATCACACAAACGAGATCATCGACGACGACAACTTTCGTGAGGAGATCGAAAGCTGTCCGTCGATGGCACTGACGATCGTGCGGGCTTCAACTCGCAACATCAGGACTTCCCTGGAGCCGGTATCGAAGCGGAGGAGACTCAACATGCCGTTTGACGAACCTGACTACTTGTCCCCAGACACCTGAGTTTGTCGAGCTGCGCTACCTCGTTCGATGCAAAATTTATTTACAAAACCCGTACGCTCGCGTCTGCTAGCTGTCTGCATTAGTTTTTCGAGCGCAAGATCACAGTGAAACCCGGCATCGACAAACGAGCTCTTACCAGCAAAAGATCAGATCTCTTCCGAGCTTAGGAATGTGCGCATTGGGACCCACACACATTGGATTTGTTGCATTCTGTTTTGCATCAATCACTTAAGAGGACTCGTGACTCTCGAAAGCAAAACTTCCGAACTCGTCATTCCACTCTTTGTAAAATGCAAGATCCCTTGCTGCGACGCTGGAGCGTACCTAGAAAGCAGTGACAAAGATGGAGTTACCAGACACATCATTCGAAGCTCTTCTATGCTCAAACCGACGCACCCCACGCAATGCGTCTTTGAAATCTTCTGAGTTAATGGGACGGACAGAATCTGCGTCCATCGTGCGAATATCGGCGCAGTTTCGGATCGGACCCATCGCAGCCTCGGTGCAAAGAGCCCGAACATCGGCACCGGAGTATCCTGTTGTTGCAGCAGAAACAGCACACTCAATATCATGCATACGCTGAATAAAGACAAGCCATTACAAACCCTTGGTGGACTCAGCGATGAAACCCAAATTCTCGTCTGTCAGGTCGTTCTGGTTATTCTTGAGCAGCCTGCTGACCATATCGAGTCTGGCCTCGAGCGAAGGGAGAGGAATATATAAACGTTTGACAAAGCGTCGACGTGCAGCTTCGTCGAGCTCTTGAGGTCGATTTGTGGCACCTACAGGGTAACGACCCGAAGCCGTAAGTTTGGCATACACACAGGTAAGATGATCCAGCATTGTCGACAAAATAATGTACCAACGACAAGTATGATGTCCTTTGCTTTCGTTCCGGCACCATCGAGCTGCACCAAAAATTCAGTCTTCATCCGTCGACTAGCTTCGTTGTCTTCCGAACTGTAACAGAACGAGTTGTAAAAATCACAGCGATGGGACGGATGGCAGTTGATAGATGACAGACCTCCGTTGAGTTAATAGCGAATCGATTTCATCGATAAATATCACTGAGGGCTGTCAAGTAGAAGGAAAGTAAGCAATTAGACTATAGTGGAACCGCAGGCGTCAATACCTGTTTTACAGCTGCAACAGCAAACAGTGTTCGAACGAGCTTCTCTCCTTGACCAATCTAGTGAACCAAAAGGACAATGGGATTATTGGTATCAAGTCGTGCAGCAAAACCTGACAGCTACTCATACCCATTTGCTTGTCAAGGAGCTAGCAGAGATGTTGAAGAAGGTCGCACCAGACTGACTAGCAATGGCTTTGCCAATCAGCGTTTTGCCCGTACCAGGGGGTCCGAATAACAGCAAACCTGAGCAGCTAGCAGTCAGCACCACATGCATCTTTGACATACACGGACTAGCTTACCTTTCGGGAGAGATCGAAGTCCAGTGAAGATGTCTGGTCGCTGCATCGGCCAAATGACCAGCTCGTTCACGCACTTCTTCGCAAATTGCAGTCCAGCTAAACGTGCAAGCCAAATCAGTTTCCTCAGCTATTGCACGTCTACCGAATAAAGAGGAGAAGCAAGAATGGATACCGATATCGTCGAATGTAACTGGGTCTCCATTGTCAATGATCTCCATTTCGATCTTTTCAATCAACTCGGGATCACAACTCTTGAGTCGTGGGTCCGTATTTTCATCCTCGTCAGGGGGCATGACTTTCTTGACACTACTTGACAAATTTGGTGTCAACCACTTGTACCACTTTACTCGGTACTAAAAGACACATACCGTACATAGCACTTGCCTCTTGTTCGCGCCACTATTGTTCATTGGAGACACAAACTTTTTGCTGACTGAAGATGGTCCTGACATGTACCCATCGTTGTCGCCGTTTCGAACTCCACCAAGAAGGAGGTCTTGGTTGACGGGATGGTATGATCCACGCGAAGGACCCCGCGCATCGCGCCGCCGTCCGTTCCTGCTTCTTAGCTGATCATCATCAGCATTTCCGGTTTTCCGGTCTCGCTGTTTTGTACAGTCATCAGACACGTAAGATACCACGTGGTTTCCGCAATGAAGCAGCCGTTGACACCTACCAGTAGTTGCTCTGAAGCAGTCTGGAAGGGATTACGCTGTTGCACTAGCTTGGGACGAGTATCGTCGCCAAGCGACTCGAGATCTTCGTGAGGCAATCGTGACCTCTTACTAAGCAGGTCACTTAACGCTGACTTAGGCCGAAAAGAAGATTCGTGTGACAGAGAAACCCGAGACGCCTCTGACGGCCCACCCGAGACACCGTCCAACAAGTTGATGTTGTCCCTACTAGGCTCCACCCTTGGACGAATACTTGGAGCCATACCGACGGGACCTGCCACATCATCTTCTGCAATAGCTGGTGGATGAATTGGCGCTTGAGGCTGAACTGACACATGGCTCTTGGCTGCATTTAGCTTCTTGTGCTTCGTCCGCTCTTCCACCACCTGCCACCACAAGCACGTACAAGTACGTCAGCCTCAAAGACTCGATAAAACTAGCCACTGGGCTATCTAGCAGCAGCTACAGCCACTCACTCCTTGAAACAAACTGGGAAAGCGTCGTCGAGCGTCTCCGACTGTGGCGCCTTCCTCTTCGACCTCACTCTGTCTCAGTCTCCACTTCTCCCGCACCTGACTCCGTCTCGTCGACACCTCCTTCTTCTCTCTTCCTCGCAGATATGCTGTTTTGTTCATAAACAAAAGATGTAGCAATAAAAGCAGCAATACATTCGTTTAAACTGCTTTTAAATGTCGAAAAAATGACTGCACATGGCACTTCTGACCGTATTCGGTCGCGTGGTAACGCTGCAAGACCTCGGCACTGCCGCGGTCATCGCTCACACAGCTCAGCGCTCGTACAATCTCCTTGTGCGTCTCTGCCTTGCTCAGGTCTCCACGGGTTCGCAGCAGTTCGTACGTCACGCGTCCCGCGTCGTTACTGTCCGACATAGCAGCTGCCGCTTGGATTATTGTACACAGGCATTGACAACCCTTTGATATTCGATTTTTGGTATTACTGCGTAAAAGCGCTTTTACGTTAAAACGTGATTGATCGGGTCACACCAGCGAAACGCGCATTGTCGGTGGCATCACTTTTTAATGCGAACACGGTGATAAAACGGCGAAAGCATCTGCTCTACCATACGCCACTTTTACTTTGAATCGCTGCTTTTTGGTGGTGTCGTTTGCTTGTTTTAGCTGATGCACAATAACAGGAGACCGCTAAAAAGAGGTGGTGATACTAACGTTCACGTAGTAGCTGCCTGCGCAATTGAAGAACCTGTTGCATTCGTCTCAGCCTTGTCTTCTTTCACTAGACTAGTCTTGATGAGCTGAGCGGAGATTGTAGCGCTTGATAGCGGCAGTGGCGGCAGCGTGGCCTGCGATGGCCTTGAAAACTTCTCGGTCTTTGGACGCGTGCATAGGCTCCACGATGACGTCTATCTTCGGTGTGCGCTTGACATCTGATGCGGCCACTTGTTTGCTTATCGCTTTGCTGCTAGAGCGGGACGTTGTTTTGGCTTTCGCCGTCTTTTTGGTCTTCGTGACGGCAAGAAGAGGTGCTGGAAGTACGTCGTCGGCACTTTTGACGCGCTTGCGAATGGGGCTATTTACAGCAGATACTTGCGATGAGGTGAGCTCCGCAGTCTATACAACCAAAAAATGAGAGAGCATCAGTCAGTTAGCACTGCCATACCAGCATTGTCGTCATCTCGCAGTGATGAGAGCACCTACCGCTTTTCCCATCTTGCGTGTGCCCCACTTGAATGGTGCATTCAGGCCCTTTTTGCCTCCCAGCATCGAAAACTGTTGTTCGAAGAAGTCGTAATCCGGACGATCCTCAAAGCCACACGCACGGATACGTGTCAGCATCGTGCCCCATGCTTTAGGAAGTGAAGAACAGAGCTGGTCAACCGAGGTTGCGCTCTTGATTCTGGCACCTTCGGCATCACTTGATGCGCACTGCCAAGGAAGATCACCTCGAATCAAGTAAATCAGCACGTACAAAAGCGACTCGATGTCGTCCCGACGGCTGGAGGCTGCAGACACGTAAAGTAAGAAGTCAATCATACCCGACGCGTAGAGCAAGCGAAACGTACTGAGACCGTTGTGGCAATGAATGCTGAGGAACGTCGGCGTGCCCACTACTGTCCCCTCTTTGAGTTCTTTGTGCTTGCCTGTCGCTGTCACATAGCGATCGGAGATCCCGAAATCCACGCAGTACACTTTATTTTCTTTCCCCATGTTCAGCATAAAGTTTTCCGGCTTTACGTCCACATAGAGAATGTTCTTTGTGTGCATCTGCTGCAAGGTCTCCAGCTAAAAGCAAGCAGCAGGAGCAACAAAACTGTAAGTAAATAATTGTCCTCGACAGAGCTTCTATGCTGCAGCCGTACAATCTCTTGGCCCAGTCGAGCTGCTGTTTCCGACGGAACAGGGCCCTGCTCTTGCAGCACCGTTTCGAGGGTACGCCCCAGCCTCTCCATGACGATAAAGCGGTATCCCTAAGGTCCCACCGCATCAGAAGTCAGCTACTCTGATACATCCTTTTCTGCATAGTGCAACCATAGCTCAGGTGGACACCTTATCCTCTCCGTAAGCTCCTAGTGGCACGTAGGGAATACCAGGCTGGTCCCTCAGATGGTTTTTATAGAGCAAATGCTCAGCATACAGAGCGTCAGCATTGCGCTCCGCCGGCGTCTTCTTCCTCTTCTTGTTCTTGAGCTTGGCGGCTGGTAACTGCGGGAGTGGCGAGAGCTTCATGACGTACTGACGGTCGGTGTCGCTATTGAGAGACGTCACTAGGACACACACACACACGAAAGATCGAAAGGGTAACGATGCGATAAGGTCAAATAGAGTCAATATGTACCGGCGTAGACGTCGCTGCATGCGCCTGAGCCGAGCTTCTCGCCCAGTCGCCACTGCTTGAGCGTTAGTCCTTCCATAGCTGAGACGGAGACAACTCCGCTATTGGTATCCAGGTTTGGGATGAGCATTGGTAATCTATTTGTGTGTCAGCGCTTTTGGAGCATCTATCTCGGGGTACGTGGACTCCTTAATCGGGGTAGTTTTGACGTTTCTGCGATCTGTATTTGGCAATAGATGGGAACGCAGACGGTATTGTGTCGAGACACAGCTGTTATTGGGAAGCTAAGTGCCGTTTTAAGTCGGGACACTGACTGACCCACGTTATTGGCCAGAGAATTCGATCTGAGTTGGCTGAAGGAAAGCGTGTTTTAGGAGGTCAATGTCGTTGTCGAATTCGAGCCCGATAGGTAGTATGAGCAACGGCGATACCGCGACATGTGCTGCTCATCTTTACGATACGCAACAGCGCGATCAGGATGGGTAGCTAACATCAGCTAACAGGCAGTCAGTGTGAAGCACAAAGTTTGCATTTCGATGCCGATGGATCGCAGCGAGGATGAAATGGAAGCGAAGAAGAATCAATCACATTTGGGTGAGCGTATGAAATGTCCCATCGATTCTCGTAGCATAGCGATGACGTACGTAAAGACCATCAGCTTCCACGTCAGCCATACTTGCTATCTACCGCTGGCATGAGTGCGTCACGCTTGGAATTTAATTGCAATTGTCGACTTATGGAGGAACTATGTGGAGTTGTTCCGTGTCGACCATTTTACAAAGCAGCTAGTGCGGCAGCCATAGCTATTTCCAGACACTCTTTTTCCGTTTTCATGTAAAGCGGTAATTGTTCTGGCACTAGAATACGATATTGCAAGATAACACAAGCTGTGTTCCCGTTCAGTGGCTTGTAAGATTTCTTTGTGGCAAGCTTGCATCCTTTTTCAGCAAAAATGCATTACAGGTTTTCTTGCATGGCGCTTTTGTAACGTACATTATTTCAGCAAGGTGAACAGAGGGTCTGATAAAGATCTACGAAATTTCAAACATTATTTGTAAGCTAGGCATGATATATACAAGCGATAGCTACATTACGTATAATCGTTCATCGTTTATATGGACGATATGTAGTAAACACTGCGATCCGCAGCTCAACGACTGCTTCCTTTGCCCCCCCCCGCCTTAAACAGTCGCCTCCAAGTAGATACATTTTGGGCTCTACGTCGAATAAACGGGTCTTTGAGTCCGAAACTTTACAATACGTAGTGCGTGTCGCCCAAGTCGTGGCATTTAGGTAACAGAGAATGGACAAACGGGGCTAATCGTTCGCTTCGGTTTCGGTGAAACGCTTCAGTTTTGTATAGCTCGACATGATTGGCTAGTTTCCAGGCTAACGATTTATGTATGTTACACGGAAGAGGCTAAACAGTCTGCACTCAAAGACAAAGCAACAGAGATCTGCATGGGTACTATTTTCACTGCTAATCCATTACCCATCAAAGGAGCAGTAGCTACTACAGAAACATGGCAGTCAGCCGACCTCTTCGGTTGAACGTCGGTTCTTATCTTCAGATGGTGTAGATATGTGGGGATGACAATGGTTGGTTTTTAAGAGATGGAAGCATCGCATTAAGTTGGTGAAGAAACAATTTTACTTTTGCATTGGTATCTTTCTATTACATGTGGTTATGAGCCCAATGTGTCATCCCGCCCATTTGATGGAGCCTTACACGGAGCCAAGGGCAGCAGTGGCTGGCCTCGAAAGGGCCAGTAGTATACTAGGCGAAGACTTAGAAGTCAAGATGGAGAAGATGCCACGGAGCACAGAGAAACCGTTGGTGTCCCTACTGAGTGGACTTGCAGAGCGGATGGCTAAGCTGTAGGCATCCTAAGGGGTAAAAGGAGCAACCGATAGATGATATGTCTAGTGTGCTCGGTTGGCAATAGACCTGGGTCAAGTTACAAATCGGCGTGCTCTCATCGTGACACTGTCGAGGGCTTGGTTGCCACGTAAGTCGTGGGGGTCCTACTTCGGGGTGCATTAACCAGGGTGGATGATAATGTCGAGATAGCACAGGTGCTGCAGCTAGAACTACCACTATACTACACACCATCTTCAGTATAGCAGAAGGAAACATTACCACAGCAGTGAGCGCAATATGCGAGGGTACCTAACGACGCAAGACAACATAAAATGAGTCTATGTCACTTTTAATGGGAAAGATCTTTGATAGGGGACAGGGACTTGTGTTCTATCAGGAAGGAAGAAGTATGTGTGGGAAGTTTTTTGCTAAGAGAGCGATCAGATTCTCGTGTAGCAAGGATGTAGTGATTTATGTCATTAGATTTTTTACCGGAATGGCCGAGCGTCACTACAACCGCAAAGTCGAAGGGCGGTCGCAAGGGATCCGACGTTGAAGCATACCATTCAGACTCTGTTTTATACGTTCACAACCAAGATCACGCCGGCACAGAGTATGAATCCTTTACTATCACCAAGAGCCCCAAGCGCATCTGGACCAAATATAATTTGTATCTGGCCGCAGTTAGCAAGGAATGAGGTGGAGCAGAAAACTTGTTTTAAAACAACATTGTCTACGACGCTGACTCGGCGATAATTCTTTTAATGATAGCGCGCTTGAATTGAACAGGGATTGATTACTTGATCGAAGCGGAGGATCTGGCGCACTTTACACGGTCGACAGAGATCGAGCTGCATGGATTGGACAAATAAAAGAAGTCTTCGACAATGTCCGAAACGTGCGCGAGTAGGCGCGAAACGTGCGCAAAGATAATCGGAAGTGCTACGTCTACGGGGAATCGGGGCATGTAATGTCTTAGAGTCGGAAGAATAAGCTCGCAAGATAGTTGAGTGACGATGTGGATCTTGCGCTTGCAGTGGACGACTCGAGCGCATCACGGATATTGTGTACTGAACGAAGGCTTTAGCCATGACCTAGTATGTCGAGAATCTCGAAAGAAACATTTTTGTGTGTGGTATTTTGGAGTCTTAAGGGTTGATGGCAGCCTACACGGATGATCACAGAGTTGTCGCCAACATCGACAGCTGAATCGCCATTTTTGACGTGGAAAATAAGAAAAAAATGCTAATCGTAAAAGACCAGTGTTTCGGGGGCATTAAACTACCGTCGCACGTGCTAATGGCGGCTCTAGCACGGATGAAGACGAACTGAATTAAGACATACGACAGGGCACGCTCATGCACTTTCACAATAGATGTGCTCACATGAATCAAGATACAATACTCCGCATGATGAAGGATATGCCTCTGGTACACAGCTGTCTGATGAGACGAGTGCGATCTTTCTATCTTGCGCTCAAGACGACATACTAAGTACTCGCATTCGCGTAAAGACACTGGCAAGAACGCGCTGATCATTATGGTCGAAGAAGTCATCTGCTTTGACTAGAATGGTCCCATGACCCCTGAATGACATATCGATAAATATCGGTATGGCAAGCTCATGATCGTTTCATGAACCGCTGGCTAGTTTTCCTGGCGAAGAGCAACGACAATATAGACCGTAAGTTTTAATTGTTTTTTTGGTGATGGGGAATTTGATTGCCGCATCCACGGTCTGCAAAAAGACGGTGGAGAGGAATTTTGCACTCTGTATCTCTTTTGCAAGGACACGTAAATTGTTAGTACAATTAAACTAGACAAGGATGCAAGCTAGCAATGGAAAGTAAGAGCAGATGCATTGCACTTTTATGAACATGGTGCGGAGAATGGTGCGTGCGACCTGCGCTCAGCGTCTATAGCGTAGCGGCCGAGTATACGGCCTGCATTGTAATCGTAGTCCAAGTAAATCGAACGCCGGTGGGCTATCACCTCTACATGTGTTAGCAAAGGATGTGTACACGTTTTGAGTGACATTGTGGTTTGGGCCACCGTGCACATTGCACCCGGGCGCGAGGAGCAAGTCACTTGGAGATCGCTGTAATCAAGGCTAGAACATCGGTAAAGATTGAAGAAGCGAAATGGTGCTGTCCGTACATTCCCGAAAATAAAGTCGTGGTATTTACTCAGCACGTCATGTACGTAGAGATTCTCACAAAGAAGAAGAACAATAAACTACAGCGATTTCGCCTATAGGAGGTTGATGAAGCTCAGAGCAACTGTTCAGCGCAGAAATGGACGCAAGTGTCTGTACAGACTAAGATGTAGGCTAAGCGCTTGAGAAGTGGTGGCTAAATGCGGAAAAACTCACGCGAGGAGGGCGGCGGCCAGGAAAACACGCGATGTGAATGAAGAAAGAAACGTGGATGAGCTTTCGAATGCGGTGAACAGCGTTTGCGCGAGAGGACCATATTGTACAATCAGGATATGAAGAGCGGCCTACAATACAAGTGGGTGACAGAGATGGATAAGGAACTGTGAGCTTTGGATAACAACAAAGTATGGAAGATCGAATTGCCTCCAAAGAGACGTTATGTCCTACACACTATATGGGTGTATAAAAAAACCATGTTGGATGAAGGCGGAGAGATGCAGCGTTCAAAACAAGGCTTGTTGCCTGCGAGAAAAAGCAGGCCTTCGGCGTAGACTACGGCTTCATGTTTCACGAGAGAATTGAAAAAAGTACGGTAAAGTTCATACTGTACTTGTACTACGTTAGAGGGTTGCAGAAAGACACGGTGACATACCTAAATCCTACGTGAAGGCAAACACAGAGGGACGGTCGGAGCTTTTTCATGCCGTACCGCAATGTATGACTTTACCAGATGTAACCTCAAAGCAACTTGGAGTGTAGGCAGCGACAAATCGGCACTCAGGTTTCAAAAGCGGCTTTTTACGGCCTTGTAAGGGCGGGTTGGATTTGGACCGAATTTACTAGACAAGATAGTGATGGAGGCTGGGTTCTGTAAATGCGTGTCAGACGCGTGTCTGTATTTTGATCACGACAAAGGCGAACTGAAAACATTCGGAGTTGTCTGGATGATCTGTTGATAACAGCGTCAGGCCAGGTCAAGGTGACCAAGTTTTTAAGCAATGAGTGTTCACTCAATGGAATATGTGCTTCAAGCTGACAAGCTACTAGGCAGAAAACACCGTTAGCACGCCCATCGTGACGACACCAGCGATCATGACTTACCTTTGTACCTGTCATCGAATCAGTGCAAGAAGAGCCATTTGGCTATCCTAGACTTTCAGTCATTAGTCAGTAGTAATTAACGGATCGAACGGTGCTCAAGAACTGACATTCGCTTTGCAATTCACAAAACCACGAGACGCACGCACCAGCACAGTGCCAGGTAGAAATAGACGTTGTCACGGTAATTATCTGGAGTGATTTAGACTTTGCAGCAGACAAAACCGATCGCAAGTCAAATGCTGGTGGACTACTTACGGTGATTGAGGTGATATTGTGTTAAATCGCAAAAGTAGACCGGAGTATCCTTTACAACCATGGGTGCCGAATTCACCTCGGCTTCACATATCGGTAGAGATCTACTGACTTTACAGATGTTGCTGAAGTAGATCTGGGCTTTTTGTGATGGATGCAATGAGCACGTCATTGAATGATCAAGCAGAAAATAATAGTCCAATTGTTAGCTGTATGAGAAAATCATGGTGGATGCGAATCACGTGAACGTGCTGATAGATTTAATATTTGACTTTGCAAAAAGAGGTATTGTCAAACTTGAACTTGCGGAGTCGAAATCGATAAGAGCGGACTCGTGGACGATAATACTGCCTACGCCTTAAGCAGCGGAAATAAGTGGTATATTCTAATCTTGTGTGATATGTGAAGGACGACTAGTTAAAGCGTGTCGTATCAAGAGTAGTATTGAAGAAGCAGTAATTGCTACAGAACCGTGACAGTCGAGCAATTTCTTAGGTTGAAGGATGGTATCTATTATCGGATGGTGGGGTAAATTCGGGACGATAATGGGTAGTTATAATAGATGAAAGGCATCGTATCAAGCTAATGTCGACAATGACACCTCTAATTTTGCATTGGCATTTTCCTGTTCGAACATTACTAGCCCATTCCCATGGATATATCATTGGATAGCTAAAAAATCATCTAGCCATACCTAATTTATGTGGACGATTGGTGGGCATGTGCTTTGACATTATCACAAAAATATTGGAAGGTAACTTTTATAGGGCGGCATCTTGATGAGAGATTTTGAATAAAATATATATTCATCCCTGCCACAACTTGATATATCGAAATAGACTAATTTGCTGCGAAACACCACACCGTCTTAGGCATACCACAGGTACGGCGGGAACATGATAAGTATGGCGTACCCCAGGCCTAAATTGGTAGTTTTGTGGGTATACGAATCCCGCTTACGTGAAGCGTGAATAGCATGAGTATACTTGCGAAAGTGATACTAGATTATGCTGGGTAGTAAATGTCGAAAGCTGAACGTATCGTAGCAAGTAGAGAACATACAATTAGTTACAGCAAGCGCGTTATTATATTCTCTACCATCTTGATTGCTTCAAGTCATTACGGTATAAAATCAGAGAATGAATAACCTGAAAGCCGTTTAGCGCAAAGATGATAGCCAAAATTATACTTGTGCTACATTTAAGATTCATCATCTTGAAATTTACTCTCTTACACTCCTCCTCGTCGACACTGCTCATGACAAAGCTTTTGATTCTTAATCTGCCACACTTCGACTTCAATTTAAATTGATGTGAACATCAATTTGTTTTCTTAGCATATGCTTTTACCATTGATGTGCTTTGCATCTTCTTAGATATCCATTTGCAGTGGCATCGGTCCTAAAAATGTAAAGTTTTTTTTAACACTTTGCAAACGCTTAATCGATATCGAGCTATCATAGATGCGGCAGTAAAATTAGGCTTCCACAGCTGAAAGTGACATTCCATCTTGTT